GTAACTTGACTTAAAAACAATCTAAATAACTCAACCTTAAATCAATTTCCCATGCATTTCAATTATATAAGCAACTCATGGGGCTCCCGAATGGAGATCGGGTCACACAGTGAACTTAACAAAACCCAATAAAATGATCTGCCAGTGATTTATGCGGGACCCGTAATTTGATTCTACAGATATGTGGGGTGATTATCTTAACCAGTCACCTTTGGAAGGCATTGATTTCTTGAGGAGCAGTCGGCATGCCGGCCACTGTTCATGCAGCTTTTTTATTGACTCTTTATGATTCTGCAGAGTCTCTGCATTGGAAATGTCAAAGTGCACGTATTGGTTTTTTTGGAGGGTGATACCATTCTCAAATGCAGGAGGGTAGATCATATCAGCCGTGATATCTTTATGTGAGTGGAAAATGAAGAGGTAATAGTCAACTCAATGAAAATCCTCACAAATTGATTTTCGAAGCATTAACCAAAGCACATTCTTGATAATGGAGGCATATTTTACAGACAGCGAGGTTTTATCTACTTCTCGATGGTGGTTTATTTCACAAAAGGCTGCAACCGATATGACTGATATTAATTCAGGCCGAGTCATTTTTTTTTTTTTTTCATTACGAACCAATTACGAAACCCTTTCGCTTGGTGTGCCAATCAGACAATAGTTCAATAAATACAGTCTCAGGGCCAAGTTTTGCTGAATTTTATTTCTTCTTCCTCGTCTTTTTAAGATGCCTTTTTTCTCCTCTCAAATGATTCTTTGTTCTCGTGAAGGGTTGGGGGTCTGTGTTAATAGAATGCCATCTATCCCACTGTTCTAGCGTTAAATAAGAATATAAATAAGCTTGTTAGTGTAAGGAATAATTGGTATATCCATAATTGTCTCTCTTGGCTTGCGCACAGTGTAGCAGACGCAGTGAGAGGCTAATGTGACTAAAGAGCAATGCGGTAATGAGCTTTTATCATGAACCACTGTGAAAGGAAATCAAACACTAGAGTTTTTGCAATTGAGAAAAAAAAGTACCAAACAACTTGTTTGCATGGATTTTATACTTTTAAGGCTTTAAAAAATGCATTTTAAATAATTAATTCAGACGGTAATGAATATTCTGTCATCATTTACAGAACCTCATGATGTTCCGAACCTAAATGCATTCATGTTTTTCAGTGCAATAATAATGGTAAGTAGGTTTAGAAGGGCAAGAGTGTGAGTAAATAATGACTGAAATTTATTTTAGGGGATAAGTATCTTAACGAACATGCTGAATTTAACAATCCCAAACTAATCATTTACCCAAAACATCATTTAACAAAAATGACACCTGCATTACTGTTAATGATGTTTTTTTTTCCTAATTAAATTGTTCCACAGAGTTTTACTTTAGTTGCATAAATATAGACTAAGCTTGACTTTTTAAATATTGAAATAATCCATGCATAAATTAATTTACAATCCATATCAGTTATTTGTGAAATGCATGGGGCTCCTAAATGGAGATTGGGTCGCACAATTAACTATTTTTTTCTCATTGAAATTGTAACAGCATACAGATATGGAATGACTAGAGTGTGAGTAAATTTTGCTGAATTTGACAAACCCCAATTAATCATTTACTCAAAGAAAAACAGCCTCATATAGAGGAAAAATACACATTCATTACTGTTAATGATGGAGTTGTTTACTAATAAAACATTAAATTGTTCTGCAGAAACACTTTATTTACTTTAATATGAAGTAAACTTGACCTTAAAACAATCTGAATAATCAAAATATAATAAAATTTATGCATACAAGTAATACAACAAATGCACGGGGCTCCCAAATGGAGATTGGGTCAAATGATGAACTTAACAATTTTTTTTCGAGTGAAATTATAACATCATATGAGTTTGGATTGACAAGAGTGCAAGTAAATAATGTTGAATTTAACAAACCCCCAAAGATAATTTACTTTTACAAAAATAGCCTTATATGGAGGAAAGTTACTATTAAGTTACTATACTATTACTATTATTCATGGATTTGTTTACTAAAAAAACATTAAATTATTCCACAGAGACATGTTCATTTAAATTACTTCGATAAAAAGTATACTTGACTTTAAAACAAATATATAATCCAAACATAAATCGATTTATGCATGATAAATCATTTACCCTTTACAAAAACAGCCGTGTGTGGAAGAAATTTACACTTGCATTACTGTTAATCATGAAATTGTTTACTAATAAAACACTAACTTGTTAAACAGAGACATGGTTACTTCATTTACTTTAATATAAAGTAAACTTGACTTTAAAAAAAATCTTATAATCCAAACATAAATCAATTTATGCATTTAGGTTATACAAGAAATGCATGGGGCTCCAAAATGGAGATTGGGTCTGGCGGTGAACTTTACTTTTTTTCCCTCTCTTACTCAGTTTAAATGACATGAAGGTGAGTAAAAAATGATTTACATTTCTTTCAGGGCACATGCTTAATTTAATAAACCCCAACAAGTGATTTACTCTTAAAAAAGCAGCCCCATGCAGAAGTAAATGACAACTGCGTTGCTGCTAATAACAAAAAAGTAAACTTGACTCAAAATAATCCAAGCATAAATCAGTTTTTCTCTGCATATGAGTTATATGAAAAATGCATGGGGCTCCCAAATGGAGATTGGGTCATACAGTGAAATCTGTAATTTTCCAGTGCAATAACAACACACACGTTCAGAAAGACATGAGGGTGAGCAAATAATGACTGAACTTTCCACACTCCAGCTTCATAGACACTGAACACCACCTGATCAATACCACCACCCACCTGATGACCCATTTGTCTGCTTCCCACAGCGCACCTGAAACTACTGTAGCGCTCATCAGCCAGGGGCTATGTGAAACCCTGGCCATGACTTCTTTAGGTTAGCCTTTTAACAGGTGAAATGTTTCGGAGACTATCACCCGCTGGGTCAGGTGAAAGGGGAAGCAGCGGGTGATGTTATTATCTGTAGCCCACAGCAATATTCTGCCACCTATTGCTCACATGCACACAAACAAACACTCACAGGCCCCACTACAAGCTCTTCGTGATGCCGACTTGAGGATATGAGAATCAAATGCATAGTACAACTAAAACTAGACAGTAATAATAATATGGAGTTTCTTTGAAGCCATTTTTTTCTGTTGCTCCTGACCTGTATGTAAATTTGGAGCAATTTATTCCTCAAATATGATAAACAACCTCAGCATGATAAACAACTGATCAACCTCAGCATGACTACACTGTTCTCACCCCCAAACTGCTGATGGTATACGTTTAGTGACTTTCCCAGTAAGGATTGATCCCTTGTTTGCTGTCTGGCTACTAGTTTTTCACTTTAAAAAGTGTGTTATCATGAAGTAAACAGAAATAGTTGATTATTCACTTTAACATGGTTGCTATTTACCTCTCACAGATCTTTAAATGCTTGTGTTACAAAGGCAATGACTGATGCATATGTATTACAAGCACTGTTATCAGCTCAACAACAGAAAATGAAACCATATCCAGAGGTGGCACGGGAGGGAAGGACTAAGCAGAGTCAATGGTTTTGACAGATACAGTTTTGAGAATGCTGCTAAAACTATTTAGTGTAGCTTTTGTTGAAGTCCCTGTGTAATCAAAATACAGTTTTTTACATGTTAGCATCAGTACGTTAGTGTTTTTTATTTTTAATAATTATTTTTTAGGGGTTTTTCACCTTTATTTTGATAGGACAGAAGAGAATTCAGACAGGAAAGCACTGGGAGCAGAGAGAGGGAAAGGATCGGCAAAGGACCTCGAGACAGGAATCGAACCCAGGTTGCCACGAGCACACTGCTTTTATTTGTCAGCGCGCAGTACCACTAGGCTACCGCTGAGGACTAGTATGTTGGTCTTATCGATATCTATAAGCTAGTGTGCACGAAAACAATAATGAAATTCACATTTAAAAGATATGATACAGCTTGTCACTTCAGCCTAAATGGTTGACCAACCTCATACTTCAATTTCTCATCAAATCTTTTGACCAATCAAATGCTCTCTAGTATGACAAGCCCCGCCCCTACAAGATGTTTCTCATTTACTTTTCACTTGATGCGCTTGAGCTAAACCACTCTCACTGCAAGACGAAAAAAAACAACAAAAAAAACGAAATGCTATTGGCTGTTTTTAAAAAGGGGAGGAGCTACTTTATGTCCCGCCCTGCCAAATTCTGTCACATGTCGAACAAAAATGCACATTTTAAGGGACCTTTAGGAGATAAAAGAGACAAAAATGTCATCCAAATTCCTACCTGGAAAAAAGTATTGACAATAAACAACAAGGTCAGACTTTACAATAAGGTTTCATTAGTTAATGTATTTACTAACCTAAATGAAACTTGTAGAGCATTTATTTATCATAGCTCAACATTTACTAATGCATTATTACCATCCAAACTCATGCTTGTTCACATTAGTCCATGCACCGTGATTGAACATGAACTAACAACTGTATTTTCATTAACTAACATGAACAAATACTACAATAAATGTACTGCTCGTTGTTTGTTCATAATACACATAAACAATTTTAATACTAACATAAATCAATTTAAGCATATCAGTCATACGAGAGATGCATGTGGCTCCCAAATGGTGATTTGGTCAGGCAGTGAACTTTACAAATCTTTTTTTTTTCTCCCTCTCAGTTTAATAACGTTAAATGACATGAGAGTGAGTAAACAATGACTGAAATTTCTTTCAGGGCGCATGCTTAAGTTAACAAACCCCAACAAGTCATTTAACCGTACAAAAACAGCCCCATTTAGAGGTAAATAACAACTGCATAACTGTTGATAACAAAAATATATATTAAAAGTAGTAAATATGTTAGTAAATGCATTAAGTAGCATTAACTAATACAACCTTATTGTGAAGTGACACCAAAACAAACATTTGCAATAGCATTAAATTCAGTATATTTCATTAAGGAATTTCTTAAATCACACTTACCCTTTCCGCCGATTGTGCAGTGCCAAAGAAGATTGGTATAAAAGCTAACCAAATGATGCAGGTAGTGTACATAGTAAATCCGATTGGCTTGGCCTCGTTGAAAGTTTCTGGCACGCCACGGGTCTTGATGGCGTAAACAGTGCATGTGACCATCAAAAGGATGCTGTAGCCCAGAGAACAGATGAGCGACAGGTCCGAGATGTCGCACTTTAGGACCCCGCGGGCCTTCATTGGATCAGACGTGCGCTGCTCGCCATAGTCCACCACTGTATGTGGAGGATCAACAGCAAACCACACAAACACACCGAGCAACTGAACTGAGATCAGGCTGAAGGTGATGACCAGCTGGGAAGCAGGGCTGATAAAGCGTGGAGCGGCCACTGACTTTTTTCCTTGTTCAAAAATGCGATGGATACGGTTGGTTTTGGTTAGTAGAGCCGCGTAGCTGAAGCACATGCCCAATCCAAGAAACACCCGCCTGAAGGAGCAGATGCCTAAACTGGGGGTGGCGATCATCAAGAAGGTGATGGCGTAACATAAGAAAATACCTGTCAGTAAGACGTAGCTCATCTCTCGTCCAGATGCACGGACAATTGGGGTATCATTGTAACGGACAAAAGTGACCACTACAAAACTGGTGGCCAAAATGCCAAGAACAGCAACGAACACCGGCACGGCTGCCCAAGCTGAATGCCACTCCAGTTTGATGATAGGGATGGGGACGCAGCCGGTGCGGTTGCGGTCTGGACGCTGCTCATAAGGACAGAGTTCGCAGCTGAACTCGCTGGCCTGGAAGTGGTAGCCTTCGCACCGCTCACAATGCCAGCAGCAGGGCACACCCTTCACGATCTTCTTACGTTCACCCATTTGACATGGCACACTGCACACTGAAGCTGGAAGTCTGGGGTCGCCTGTCCGCCAGCGCATCACATTCACCTGCAGAAGAAAACAAAAATGTCCCATCAAATAAAAGTGAAGAGCGGACACGTACGGCGAAATAACTGCTCATTCAAGCAAGTCTAACTGGTCACATGTGCATAACACACACACACACACACACAGAGCAACTCAGCAACCATGCTTTAAATACCCAGAACAACTTAAAATGGCCAGGAAACTGAATACAGAACATGCTAAAAAAATTCAGAAAACCCTACAAACCACCAACAAATAGTATATAGCATGATAAAAAGCCCAGAATACAAGAGCAACTGCTTAGAAATGATAACGCCCTAGCAAATAGCCTATACATGCTAATGAAATACTTTAACACTCAAGAAAACGCAACCACCCAGAAATGCTATAACATCCTGAAAATGGCCAAAACACTCTAGCAACCAACTGGAAATAGTCTAACAATAAAAACCATCATAGCAACAACCTAAAAGCCATATAGCACAATGGGAATGACCATAAATACCTCCAAGTAAGTGTATAACATGATTAAAAATAACACGCTTGCAACCAACTAGAAATTGTATAACACAATGAACATGACCATGACACCATAGCAAACAAATAGAAAGTGTGCATCATATTAAAACGACGATAATACATTTGCAACCAACTAGAAATTGCCAAAAATTGTTAATAAAATGACCATAACACTCCAGCAACCACCTATAAAACATGTAACACAATGAAAAGGAACATAAGACCATAGCAAACAACTAGAAACTGTATAACATGTTAAAATAACACCCTTGCAAATCAATTATAACATAATGAAAAATGGACACCAAGCAAACAGCTAGATATGGTATAAATTGTATAAAAAAATACTAAAGAAAAAGGCCAGAAAACACTTGCAACCATCAATAAACTAAATTACAATATGCTAAAATGTCCAGTAAGTGTATCTAGTCTATAAGTCTATAACATGATATAATGAGCACAACTCTCTTGCAACCAACTTGAAATTGTCCAAAGTTTTAACAAAAGACCATAGCACCCTTGCAACTACCTAAAAAACATGTAACACAAATATAACACAAACATAACACCATAGCAAACAACTAGAATTTGTATAAAATTATAAAATTACCATAACTCCCTTGCAACCAACTAGAAACTGTCTTAAATGGTTTACAGAAGGACCATAACACCCTTGCCACCACCTAGAAAATATGTAACAAGATGAAAACGAACATAACACCATAACACCCTTGTCAACCATCTATAACATAAGAAAAAATGACAGTAGCATCTAGCAAACAGCTAGATATGCTATAAAATGTATAAATATGGTTAAAACAATGCTAATGATGGCTAGAACACACTTGCAACCACCAACAAACTGCATTATGGTGTGCTAAAAATGCCCAGAAAGTGTATCTAGAAAGTGTATAACATAATAAAATGACCATAGCACCCTTGCAACCAACCATAACATATTAAAAAAAGTCTGTATATTACATAGCAAACAACTAGATTTGGTATGAAATACATATAAAATGCTAAAAATGGCCAGAACACACTTGAAACCACCAAGAAACTGCATTATGATATGCTAAAAATCCCCCGAAGACCAATTAAACCACTGGGTATTTGAATTCCAACATACTAAACACAGAACTCATATTAAAGCAAGGCCTATAAAGGTTACAGCAAGTTTTGCACATGCAAACAACACTCATATTGTTTTGCAAAACGTAGTTCACTCTTACACATCCTCATCTTTCATATGAAAGTGGAAATAATATAATTGTTCCAGTAATTTACATATTGAAAGTTTGCTATTAGTAGTGTACTAAGCACACTGATTTATTTAAAGCGACCTTGATGCATCTTTCACTGTAAACGATAAAACATCCACCTACAAATAATAATGGAAAAAGAGCTGTCAAAAGACGAAGACCAGAGGCCTAGATTTAAACGAGAAAAACTGTGCATCCAAAAAGTCTCATTACCCACACATAGGCATCACATCAATGTGGGTTGTGTCACATTTGCAGAAGAAATCATTTTATTACCCCTTAGTGCCTGAAAGCTGTGGAAAATAAGAAGCCGACGCTGCTCTTTAAAGTGCAGTCAGTTCTGCTCCCGGGCGCAACTTTTGATGACAGATATATTTTCGGGACAAACTTGTGCCAGAGGCGTTTGAGATTAAATAAATAACATGACAAAAAGCCGAGTTTGAGAAGTGACGGCGATATATTATGCACACGTCTATTAAAAAAAAAATTGTAATTGCGCATTAAAAAAAAAACTGTTTTGGCAGAACAATCCATTGGACAAATAAGGACAGCTCTATACTTCTGCTCCATGGTTCTCACTGTTGCTTGCTTTACGAAGATGGCAGCGAATGAATTATTCATGCTTGAGACAAATTATGCCTGGCAAAAACAGATTGGCTTTAATTAGAGAAATGAAAAAAAGGACATATTAAAATATGGAGAAAAGAGAGAGAGAATTTGCAAATGAACAGAAGTTTAATTTGACTTATCACATAAAAGGGTATGAAGGGTATTTAAGAATAATTGAAAGACCAAATCCCTTCATTTGATTCTTCCCATTGAGTCTGAAACAAAAGCCACACTGACCGTTCACAATTAGGCTGTTTAATTTGGGTTTATTCATCTTGAAAACACACTAATAAGGAACGAGAAGTGTTTTTGAGGTTCAAACGTTGTCAAAATTAACACAAACCACTTACATGCTTGCGGTATTGCTCAGAGTTAGGGTTAGGGATTTCAACAAATCTCTAACCCTAAGTAGTAAGTACTAAATTGCAGCACAAATCGTCCTGCATAATTTGTGCAGCAGAAATCAAATGTGTGACTTGATGAGGCGAGATGTACTTTTATAAGCGATCAAACCTGAAAAAGCACAAAATGAAATCCTAAAAAACACCTCGAATCTGCACAGCGATATGCTTAAAAGGCTCTATCAATAACTACCCAGCAACACGCTAAAAATGTCAAAGCAAAAATGAGAAGAATAAATAACTTGGTGAGAGTGGCAGGACACATTATGGGGATCCAGACACTTTCATTTTTCATTTCTGAGGTGTGCATGATTCAGCAAACCAACAAGAAACTAAAAACATATTCAAATGTGTTGCTTTTTTGGGTATGAGCTGATGAATTCAGACAGAAGATAAGGGGTCAGGTAAAGCAGGCATAATCAATATAACCAGGAGCGGACTGGGACAGGGGCAGAAGAGGCAGGCCAGATTGACCATGGGACCATCAGGAAATGTGAAAAACATTCCCGCATTTCCGGATAAACCTCAACCTAGTGCTCCTTGTGGCCAGTCCACCCCTGAATATAGTTCTATATTCATTATATTATTCTTTTCTCCCATTGTCAGTTGATTAACGAGCATATATGACATGTTTGTTAATAGGATGTGATTACAGCAATGTAAGTACATCAGATTGTTGAGGGTTGTGCTTCTAATAGATGGTATTTTTTACTGAAATTGTCGTATTTACAGGAATTATAGGATTATACTTTTTTTTAATGCTGGACTCACAAACAGGTCAAATAAATACTTGGAAAATGCTAGCAACCCCCTAATAACATGATACAAAACAAGAACACCATAGTAAGCACCTAGCGACAGGCAAAAGAAGTAAATAAAATACCTAGAAAATGCTAGCAATAACCCCTCAAATCACATCCTGGCAACATCATTAAAAAAAACACCATGACCACTGTAGTAACTGTGTAGCAACAGACAAAACTCCACCCTAGCAACTCCATAGAAATATATAGTATCAACTTAACAACATTTGTTTTGATTTGTTTAGAGCATTTGTCAAAGCCAAATCACCCTGCAGCCCAAGACTGATACAGCCCAGGGCTGATACTGGTCAGTACCTGGATGGGAGACCACATGGAAAAGCTAGGTTGCTGTTAAAGAGGTGTTAGTGAGACCAGCAGGGGGCACTCAACCTGGGGTCTGTGTGAGTCCTAATGCCCCGGTAAAGTGAAGGGGACACCGTCTCACGGATGAAATGATAAACTGAGGTCCGGACTCTCTGTGTTCATTAAAAATCCCATGGCACTTCTGGTAAAGAGTAGGGGTGTAACCCCGGTGTCCTGGCCAAAATTCCTCCATCGGCTTTTAACCATCATGGCCTCCCAATCATCCCCATCCACCAAATTAGCTCTATCACTGTCTCTCCAGTCCACCAATAGCTGGTGTGTCCTGAGCGCACTGGCACCATTGTCCCGTGGGCGCCATCGCATCATCCAAGTGGATGCTGCACACTGGAGGTGGTGTGGAGAGACCCTTTCATGATTGTGAAGCACTTTTGATGTATGGCCACACACAATAAATGCGCTATATAAATACACACATTCACATTGCATCATTCTAGCAACACTCAAAATACCCTAGCAACCACCTAGCAACATGATAATAACACTAATCAGCAACATACACCCATAACGCTGCATCATAGCATGAGGAAAGCCCTAGAAACATCTAAAGCCAGGTCTGTTCTGCACAAGAAAACCACTACTAGCATCCCAAAATTGCATTCAAGAAAACTTGTGTAGATCATCATAACATCGATTAAAATGCCAGAACACCATACACTCTCAGAAATAAAGGTACGCGGGCTGTCACTAGGGTGGTACCTTTTCAAAAGGTACAAATTTGTCCCCTAAAGGTCCATATTAATACCTCAAGGGTGCATTTCAGTACCTAAAAAGAACAAAAATGTTTTTTTTTTTAATTTTTAGGTACTAATATATACTTTTGGGGTACCAGTATGGACCCTTTATGTACAATTGTGTACCTTTTTAAAAGGTACCACCCTAGTGACAGCTGGTGTACCTTTACCTCTGAGAGTGTAGCATGTACCTGGCAACATGCTAGAGTGTTGTTGTTGTTTTTTTTTTTTTTTTTTTTGCTTCCAATGTGTTCTGGACATTTTTTAGTAAGCACCTTTTAAAAACATCTGAATCATAGCATGAGGAAAACCCTAGAGACATCCAAAGCCAGGTCTATCCTCATACTGAGTTCTGCACAAGTAAACTACTACTAGCACTAGTAAATCATCCTAGCAATGCTCAGAATACTCTAGCTACCACTTAGCAGCATGGTAACTTGAACTTCACATTGCTCCAAACAATATAACATGTTAACATAAACATAACATAAAATGTTTGTTTGTTTGTTTGTTTGTTTGTTTGTTTTGCATGTTTCAAAGTGCTTTCTTATGTGCACCCTTAAAAAAACACCCACCAACTCTGCATCATAGCATGAGTAAAACCCTAAAAACATCTGCATAAAGTTCTGCCTAAGCGAACCACCGCCAGCATCCTCAAAAAAATTGCATTTAATTTCAGACGCCCTCAACCTTTGGAATCAGAGCGACAGAATGTTCCCGCTTCAGCGATTTACATATTGAACGCTTGCTACCAGTCGTTTAGCAAAGTGACCCGCGTGCATCTCTGTAAACAGTCAAATTGCAAAACACAGTCATCGGCGGTGCGTATTGATTGTGAAAATGTTTTTTTTTTTTTTTTTTTCATAAAATGAAATTTTAACCTCGTTCAGAGTCGCAATCTTTCCAGGCTAACAAACTCTTTTTTTTCCTTCTCTCTCCCTCCCGGATGTGTCAGTAAAATTGAGCTGCATGCAAATCCCTGGGCTTCTTTTCCTCTGTAACTCATCCAGCGGTGATCTGTTTAAGCGCTTAAAGTACAACAGAATCAAAACCATCCATGTGGATTTTGTTAGCGCACATTGCTGGTTTTGTGGTGAACAATTCATCTGTGCATGTCATTAACCAGTTAACCAGAACTGACTTATAGGGATTAAGACTTACCCAACTTAGTAGGACAATAGGATAAGATAACTGTAACAGTTCTTGACCACAGTGAGCTACAAACAAATATTCAAATTAGGCACATTACGGATACATACCCCTGTATACATTTCTGGAGAGCACGAAATATGTCCCAGAAGCTATGTTTTTTTGCAGTTTTTGTTTTCGCAAATCCACCAGAGGTTGCTGTGTACGGCTTTTCAGATCTCAAATTTCTCACGCGAGTGCCATTTGCACCTGCTCTGTTCACGTAAATCCACCAGAGGCCGCTGTCAACTGACTTACTGACTGACTGACTGACTGACTCACCGACCGACCGACCAACAACAGAAATGGTGAGGAGGCGTCTGTTAGGCTGTAATAACTCTCCCAAAACTCTTTTCCAGATCTTTCTGAATGAAACGTCTACTTTATTACATCAAATTAGAGCGCTGTAGAAAAAATCAAGCCACACCCACTTGCTTTCTCATTTAATATTCTGTTTCTCTAGGAACTGTGTTACAATACGATAAAAATGATCGCACCCAGCAAACACACAACAACATAAGACATAATGTTAGGTTAGATTTTGGTCGCCAGTGTCTAAGAACAACGTTATTTAGGCGTTCAATAACGACATGAAATTATGTGATATTTGATAGATTTTAGTTTGGAAGATTGGTGTTGGAAAGTGACAAAAACGTCGATCCAGCATCATAATAACCAATATTTATTCAACAGGTATGGCAACCAAAATCCTATATCTGACAGACGCCATATTGGTAACGTCCACACAATGTCAAGCTGTAACATTATTAGACGCAGGTATTTAGGTTTTTTTTTAGGTTGCGAAAGTAACCAAAATGCAACGTCTGTCCGACATTTGACATTGATGTTTTCCTAAAGTTGAGTTCTGACGTCAAAGCGATTTTCCTTTCCAAACAAGATGGTATGACATCAATCTGACATCATGTTGACATCCTGTGCCTGCTGCCCCACTTCCAGTTCATGTGAACTTTAAAGAGGGTTTATCAGTGTAGTTAAGAAGTGAGATTTACAGGATTTTTTTTTTTTTTTTTTGAAGGGCAGTATCACAATTCTTCTAAGTGATTTTTTTTTCCTCCCACTCACCTGCACAGACACAAAAGCCCAGAGGAGCTAGGGTTTCTCCATCACGTATCAGAAAATGACAGCTTCAATCTCTCCTCTGCTGCGAGAGCTTTTGGCCATGAAACCACGACTCGTTTCTGGCTCCATTAAATTTGCTTCGCAGCCAGGCATAACACATTACAAGCTTATCTTCCATCTCGTTGACTAATGAAGGCCCGGGAGTATTCGTGTCACATGCATCATCGGGAAAAAAGATAAGATTGCAAACATTTACGCTTGAATGTATCAGATGTGGACACACAAACATCATTGCACCCTGGGAAGACAAAAAAAACCCCTGAATGCATGGACGAGCAGGAAAATCTCTTTTACTCACGTTTAGATGCAGTTTGTTTGTCCACTGGCCGATCACTTTGTACTCAGCTGTGGATTTGTTGGTGATCTGATATTGGAAGATGTCGTATCGTCCTGGTGCATCTCCGTTCTGATTGAAGACCACTGGAGTTCCTGCGCTTCCTGTAAAACAAGATATGACGTGTTGACGAGCCAGTCAATCCATGCTTTTTGTCCTGTATGCACAGTAACAAATATGCATAAACTAGCAGTGTTTCATATTTTGTGATTAATGTGATTTGTGATTTTTTCCATCCATTTCTTTCGGCTTTTGAACTGCATTATGGGAGCTTGATCTTTCTTCCAACAACTTTTAACCTTCAATAGTTGTAAAAAAGGATTTTTATAAACATTTTCAATAGTTTGCAGTGCTATATTGTCTGGGTTGGTGTTGTGTATTATGCTACAAAACCCTTGTAATAAACTGTCAGTGCATTTTCTGTTTTTTTTTTACATTCTTATTTCTTTATTATTTCTGATACATTATGTTTTTTTAAACTACTAAAATGTCACTAAAAGTCCCTTTGTTAAACTGTAGAATTGAATTTTTAACATCAAAAGTCACAAAGCTGAAATCAAGGTCCCTTAATGTAATTCACAACCGTAAATAAACGGAAGACTTTGTTAATTAACATATATATTTTTATTGTGCAGCTACACACTGTTCAATAGACTTGGTTGATTATAAACCATTTTGTGGTTGTTCATTTATATGACATTTATGTTTTGGATAGTTAAAAGCAATGGATGCATAATACTGGTGTGTAAAAGTGTTTGGCCCTTACTGATTTTTTAGTTTTTGACATGTTTGTCACAATTTAATGCTTCAGAATTTTTTTTTAACAATAATAAATAAATAAATAAATATACTGTAAAAAAAATCATTTTTTTTTACGATTTATTTCTGGCAGCTAATAATGATCATTAAATTACAGAAATTTACCGTAAAATAGTGGATATTAAATTACAGAAATTTACTAGAAATTTAAATTTAGGGAAATTTCTGTAATATCATATCTGTTATTTTACAGTATATTTCTGTAATTTAACGGTCGGTATTTTACAGTTTTTTTTCCAGCACTTTTTACAGTGTAAATCTTAAGCAGATATAAAATAGACCAGACAGTGTTGGTGCTTGAAAGTCAAATGGATTTTTTTAAACAATATAAATAATTTTTTAAATCATAATATACATTTTTAAAACATTCCATTATATTTTTTTCAATAATTTTTGCAAATCATGAACTTTACTTCAATGCAACCAATATTATTAAAACATATTTTTGTTATCCGGGCACACGGGTCATTTACTAAAACTGGAAAGGTTTTTCCTTGCATTTTTGAAAAGTTTCATGATGACAACATTGTCAGAATCTTCTCCTGATTCTGTCTAGAATGACAGGTACAGTTCAAACATTTGAATGACATCAACAAATCTATAATTTAGAGTAAACTAAAGAGACACAACATTTCATTGCACTGTATGTCCACACATGTAGCAGAATGACAATAAATCTCAACTTGACTTGATATCCAATCAAAAACAGATGCATAAATCAAAGTCTATACTTGTTTCCTCCTTTCGTAATAATACATGCCACTCAGTCAGAATTCTGAAAATCTGTTCAGTTTCATCTTAACAGTATAGTACAAAACTAACCATGCTGATTTTGTTAGCTCGCATTGCTAGTTTTGTGGTGAACAATTTATCTGTGCATGTCATAAAGAAAAAATAGTTTGCCCTTGCAATCTAAAATTAAAATCTGAAAATGTTAGATTGTAATAACCCTCTCCGAACCCCTTTCCCTATCTTTCTGAATGCAAGGCCTCCTTTACGACATCCAATCAGCTTGCAGCAGAAAAAACAAGCCACGCCCACTTTTTTCTCATTTAAAATTCCGCTTTTCCTGGAACTGCATCACATTATGAAAAAGAAACGCTTGCAGCTTCTGGTTCATGCGGACTTTAAGATGATGCAAAGGTTATAGGTAAAGCTGCAGACTCCCAACAGGTGAATTAAAAAGTCAAGGTGTCAAGATCGCATGTTTCAGACACAAAGTCTCACAGCTCTACACGAGCCGCTGCGCTGCGGGATCAGATGTCACAGGTGTAAATAATACATGTCGCTTCCTGCTGTATGCGCAAAGATCACGGCAACCTTGTGAGGAGATAAGAAGGTGGAAGGGTAATAAAATCAGTCAGCTTTTTCTCAAAATATCAACACGCACCTCCATGCATGTACCCTCACCGGGGATATTTTTTGACACTCCATTCAGATGCTCAGTTCAAAGCGCTTTGAGATCAAATTACATGAACTAAAATGTCAAACGAACAGATTTGCATAAAATATTCTGCTATAAAAATAATTTGACTCAAATCTACCAAGTCCTTCAGCTCTGATTAAATGTTTGATGAGGACAATAGCCAGCCTTCGACATGCAAAATGTTAGGAAAGTAGAATTGAAAATGTATTATTTGCTTATTATAAAACTTGAAACAAACATTTAAATTATACAGTAATATTTTATATAGTATTTGTGCAGTCAAATTTTTAGATAACATTTTAGTTCAAGAACCAATTCACACCATTAACCTATTGGTGGCTTATTACCTGCATATTATTTGCATATATCGTCTTTGGGACGAGATGTTAAACTAAGATCCTGACTCTCTATGGTCTAAATTCCCTCCATCGGCCTTTACCAATTGTGGCCTTCCAATCATCCCAATCCACTGAATTGGCTCTATCACTGTCTCCACACTCCCCCTATAGCTGTTGTGTGGTTAGTGCACTGGCGCTGTTGTCCCGTGGCTGCCGTCACATGATCTAAGTGGATGCTGCACACTGGTGGTGGTGTGGAGAAACCCCTCACGATTGTGAAGCGCTTTGGGTGTATGGCCGTACATAATAAATTTGCTATATAAATACACATGACATTACATAACATATTATTAAGATATTGACTGTTTATTTGTAATCATCAAGCACATATTCCTAATCCCAAAACCTACAACTTTAATAACTATTAATAAGTAGCAAATTAGAAGATTATCAAGCTAAAAGACATAGTGAATGGTTTATTAATTGCAAGAATTATACCTTCAAATAAAAAGTGACCTATTTTTTTATTATAAAGTATATTATGTTATACATAAAACATAATAATCATTTAATTAAGCAAGCATTGATTATGCAAAGAGCATATTTCATTATTTAGACCTTAAAATATTGAATAAAATCTAGTTTTAGACTTAAAGAAACATCACACATCAGGCTTGAAACAACCAGTGTTGGGGGTACCCCATTACCCAGCCTGATCACACGAGGAAATGTAACTATTTTACGTTTTGTCAGATTAATGGCTAGTTTTAGTGCCCCCTAACCCCAACCGTCATTGGGGGATAAGCAAATCAAACTAAACTGTACCAATGAGATTGGACAAATTAGCCACTAAATCAAAAAGTTACGAATTGCCATGACATTGTGTTGGAGATACTAAATAATATTACGCTTCTAAGTAACTAGTAAAGTAATACATTACTAAAAAAAAAAAAAAAAAGAAATACTATTTGAGTTACCTTAAAAAAATAGATGTTGCAAGTTACTTTTTAGTTTAATTAATTAGTTAAATTAAAATTAACGTACTGCAGTCACATTAAATCATGCACTCAGTGAGAGAATGCCAATATATAATCACAATATAATCTTTATTTTTTTATTTTTTTATTTATAGCTCTGGGATGAGGAAGTTCTTTGAAAATAACATTATCCTAAATTAGTATTATTATTTTTAAAGTGTGTTTTATTTAATGTAATTAAAGTTTATACAGTCCATTGCTAATTGCAGAGCTCCTCTATTAAAAACAAACAAACAAAAAAAATCAAGAAAAAACAAGTTCGCAGCCCCAATCTGGTAAGAAAAAGTAACCAAAAGTAACTCAAAAGTAACATAATGCATTAATTTCCATAAACAATACTTAAGTAATGTAACTAGTTACTTTACAAGTGACACAATAATGTAATGTATTACTGTCAGAAGCAGCTTTCCCCAACACTGGAAACACTTGTTCCTAATGCTATATGCATCTCTTCTGAATGCATTTACAGTATGAGAGTTACTGTTTATTATTATTGTATGTAAAATCTTCTGTATAACTCATAGAGGTTCAGTGTCACCCCTAAATCCAACATCATCTGGAAGAAGCAGATAAACGAATAAGCAAAAAGCAGACAGTAACAGCAATGACAGATAAATCCATCAGTCCCTGTTGTTGCAGGTAATAAAAAGCAGCACACTTCACTATAAAGACAGCATCAGACTAACTTGAAATCTCCCGAAAATAAAGCTGGAATTCAAGCATTATATAATCACAGCTAATAGCCGGAAATCCAGATATTAATAAACGTTATTTGTCAGCACAATCTCTGGAAATCAGGTCGACGGGTGAACCCGCATGAACCAGTTTAATGAGTTTCATTTGAAACTTGAAAAGACTTGACGAAGAACAGAAATGTCAGCATTTAAGTTCATTTCCACTAAGCGATTCTAAATGTCCTGGGAAATGAAGCTGTAGCATTTTTTTACACTTCTTCAATCTTTGCAGAGTGTGGTTTTAGTGATTGAAAAAGACACTTGTGACCCATGGTCGTAAATAACAGATGCAATGACATCAGAAAAAAACACACAAGGACGTGTCGGATTTAGATGAGACTGCTAATGTGTTGTGACGAACCGATTCGACTTCTCATTCTTGAATACATGAATTATAATCAGGGGTGAGAGAAAAACGAGGATCAGTGAATTCATCTTCTCATCAACCTTAAAAACTAAAAGTGCAACTGTAAACAAGACCTTACACTCAAAAGATGCTTTTATTGCACTGAAAAAAATTATTAATTGGATTTAATACATTTTTAAAGCTCACGTAAGTGGTTGCAAACTATTTAAACTAGCTAAATAAAAAAAAAAAAACTAATTAAACGTAGTTATGTTCAACCTAATTTGTTGGGTTAAATTCAGCCCAAATAATATGTTTGCAACCACTTACCTAAAAAAATAGTAAATCAAATGAATTTTTTTACTGTGCTTGTTCATACTACTCATTTAAAATGAGCTGAAACA